GAAAATAAACAACACATCGAAGATTCATAGAAGGAAGGGGGAAAAAGAGTTAAAATTTACATAGGTTTTGCGTAGCGCGATATCATCTTCGTCAAGAGGTCTAGGGTTCTTTTCGTCCTTGATCTCATCTTCAGGTTCGGGTGCCATTGATTGTTTGAATCTCTTATCTTTCTTCTACTTTTCTTGAGCTGAAAGACAAGTGAAGCTGAGAAATACCGAAGCAAAACAATTCTTTGTGTACACAAACATCATAGGGTACAAGAATATGTTTAGCAGATGTGGGCCATGCGGTTGTCATACTGAAGTATTGAGTTTTACTGATTATCTTATTTTCCATTAGCTCATATAAATTTCAAACTTCAAACTACTATTAATTTGTCACAATTCATTAATTTGTTGCAAAATAGGTCTATTCTTAATGTATTCTTGTTTTTCCTGCTGGTAAACTTTGGTTAATAGGTATCAAGGAATCTGATACTGGATTTGCTTCTCCTAGCCAATGGGATCTTGTCTCCGATAAGCAAATGATGCAGGAATGCTATATCAGGATTAATTGTTTAACAGATTAGGTATCCGGATTAGTAGGCCAACATATCAAATACCGGTGGGGAAAGGGGGAAAACTAAGACATTTTCTTCAATCATGTGATAATGAGCAAATTTACTGCAATAATTCCCACTTTTGACACATAGATAAATGTTTTTTAATACATCTTTTGTCAAATCACACACAATTTTATTTATTTATTTATTTATTTGCAATAATAATAGCTAAGAACTTTCTTTGGAGGCCTAGAATTCCCTCTCTGGGAACAGAATAGGAGCAAGGAGTGACCAGATATAGAGACCTGCAGTTGCCCACCCGGTTATAATCCGAACCCATACAGATGGCCAACCTACGTCGACTAACTTGCCACTTTCCCCAACCGAGGTTGACCATCCAGTTAAAAGCATTGCTGAGTACATACTTGCAAGAGAAAAGATTATGTGGAAGAAGGCGTATGAATACGTGACTGGCTTATTTTCTCCTTTTCTTCGTGTTCATCTACTTTGTCCATTGGGAGCAAAGGCTTTCCAGCACCTTCAACCATTCAAAACAGAATGTTAGAATTTTTATCTTTCTTCGCCTTCGAAAAGATCCTAAAAAGCGGTGAGGGACGGAGAATAGAGGGACTGAGGGAGAAGTGAACCCCATATGCTCAAAATACATGTAAAACCAAAAACGGTCGCTGGACTTCCAAAATACCTACCCCCATTATCATACCCAAAAAAAAGTGACGTTTGAAAATAGAACTTGCTTAAGTTCTAAGAAATGAACCATGAAAATTTATTTTAATGGTTAAATGCATAAGGATCGAGTATTTTTGTCAACAATACCTGCCCGTGGTGAACTTGGTGGGGAGAGCAGAGTCGTGGAAGACCCAGCACGAACAGCAGAGTAGACAACTGACAGGACAGTAGTAACCAGACCGAGGGTCAGGGAGCCGGTAGAAATTGCTTTAGAATGATTGTGAAGACCATTGCATTCATAATCTCTCGGTTCACTTGCAAGTCCACTGTAGCATAGGTACATGCAGTACAATGATATGACAGAAGCTGGCAAAATGCTACCGCCAATCTGTTACACGTGAGACAAGAATTCATCAAGATACACATATTAGAAATGACCAAGTGCATCAACATACTTGTGTAAACTGCATGATATAAGACACGGTGATAAAATCACACTACAAATAGAGACTTACTGCAGGATGCAGTGCAACAATGGCAAACATAACAACAAGAATCAAGGTCATAACAATAAAGAAGGTATTGAGTCCACAATCATGTCCGGATGGGGTGAACCAGTGGAAGAGAATTCCCGAGAAGCCAAATGTTGCCAAATAACAAACAAGTGAAACAACTAACAGTGCAACATACCTAGAGAAAAGGCAAGGGATGTCAGTTTATCTGAACAAGGAAGTGAAACAATAAAAACATCAGAAAAGCAAAACTAACCAGAACTGTTCATCATATCCGACCCACTTGTCATTCCATCCATGAACAAAGTCAAGTAAAAGCACAACTTGAACCAAAAGGAACAGTCCTGCGCCAAACTTTGATACCGACTCTGCAAAAGCAAAATTTAGTGCCAGCTTAAGTCAAATATAATCAATTTTAGCCAAATTATTATCTCCTTTGATCATATTTGCAAATGGTTTTAAGAAATTTATCTACTATAGCATGTAAAGCATTTCGAAAATGATGGTATTCTTTATCTTGTAGAATGATCCACCAGAATGTAACTTACCATAGAAGCTGATAATCTCGTTTGGAACAAAAAACATTAAAACCACTAAAATGAACCAGCAGATAATTTTCATCATCCATCCACCATGGTGCACGGCATCACGAGGATCCCTCTGAGTTTTCACTCCAACCATAGAAACTGATAGGATAGTGAAAAACATAAAATTCCCCAAGCTAACCCTCAGCACCGCATCCGTTTCAAACCATTCCCTGTCAGGTGTTTTATGAAAATGATTTATCCCTGCATAAATGACAATAGCATATTCACAAAATCAGCAAAATAAGAATATGCAAGATGCAGCCAACAAGCTCACTTTTAAACATTCTGTACGTGAAATATGGAGGCACATATCAATAACTAATGACAGCCTAAAACGGGGCAGCGTGATACAAGAGAAATAAGGTACAAAAACCCAGTTATCACTTAAGTAAAATGTGTAAAAGACCAAGCTCGTAACTCATCCACAAAATAGGTTTGATCTGATAAATGATATCCCTCGAAAAGCTGAATGGTGATAAATTTCATAATCACATGGAAATCTGAGCAGTCTTCAGATTCCCTAAAATACCCAATTCATTAACACAGCATGTATACGTTCACTTAGGTCAAAGTAATCTAACGCTCGTAAGTCAAATTACCTTAAAACCAAAGACTAAAGAATTCATCTTCCCTGCTCATTGCATACGCCAATGATATGATATCGTTAACTATTTAGCATCATCATTTGCTCGGTTCAACATTAACAATTTTTTTTCTATTGGGATCTACAAAACAAACTAATTATGCGAATTACATAATTCAGCAATAATCAAAATAAGAAAGGCGGAGTTTTAACGAAAATTACAAGGGAGCTTCTCCATCAGTGGGGCGGCAACCTCACGAAGGATCCACGAAAGAATCAGAGAAAGGGCGAAAAGTCCACAATAGGCGATCCTAGCAGATCTCCGACTAATCCCCGAAACCACCGTGCGGCACGCATCGCAGGCGCATGCCGCACAACACGACGCAAGGCATGAAGCAGCCCACATCCTCTTCAACCACAAACAACAAACAATTACAACAAATCAAAGAATCCATTTATCTGAACATTAAACAAATTATTAAATTCTGCAAATATATTTATATAATTATTCTTTTCTTACCTGAGAATTCGGGAGAGAAAATTAAGCAAGATGATGATCGGTTGGGAGTGCAAGGAATATAGGGAGAGGATTCAAAAAAGCTTTAATCCTATAAGCTTGGTTCTATATTAGAGCTATTTTAATTTACTGATCGATGCCGTTTGTCCGCGTTCGTCCTTCTAATATAAACGGCGTAGGTATAATTTGTATTTATCTTTTGTTTTATTGTGTTTATCTGATGGTGAAATTGTAGTTTGGTCCCTCCCATTGTCCTATAAATGTAAATTTGTAGGCTATGCTACAATAAAATTATATTTTACTCTTCTAAAATTTTATAATTTAATTTTAAATCTATAATTTTTTGTTAAAACTTTAAAATTTATCAATCGTATTAATATAACTTATTATATCAATAAAGTATCCCATAAAGTTGATATAATGACTTACAAGTCAACTCGATACTATTTTAATTGAACTATTATCAAAATATTATTATTTGTACATGTCAACTATGAAGTAGTTTAACGAGTTAAAGTGTTAGGTCCCTTAAGCATGATCACGAAATTGAATCATGACCTTACGAGCATAAATGTTAAGTTGTAAGAGTTCTCCTCATAATAAATTTTTACAAAACTCAACTCATATTAGCTCATTAATAGATCAAACAATGATAGTTATAATGAAACAAGTATAATGAATACTATTACAAGGATATTTTTATCTTTTTATATAAATTTTAAATTAAATAGCTAAAATCTATTAGTTATGAATCAATAATTAAATTAAATTCTTTTGTATATGAACCAACAATTCGTTAGTATAATGAGATATGATATTAAATTTCTTAAGTAATGTCAAGTAAATATCAAATTATGAACGAAATAAACTCGATTGAAAATGTCATCCTCAGACTATTATAAATATTTACATTAATTTATCTAAATTAATTTTAGTTAAGTTTAGGTCTTATAATGATTATATCAACGTCTTTTCCGTTAATTTGTAATTTTTAGATATCATTTGACAATTGAGTATTGTTCACATGACTTTGATCTTTATAATCTTATTTTGTTAAAGTAATTACATGAATTCAAATTATAATCTTATTGCATTCTCTTTATAACATATTCTAATTTTATTATATATTCTCTATACGCGAAGTCTCATTTTAATTATAGATAAAAGAATTGGTCTTTAAATTTTTTGTATATAAGCTCATGGTTCAAGGTAATGACTTTTTTTATCTTCATTTTCTTTAAAAATTCATTTTACCTCTCAATTTGTTTTTTAACTCTTAAATTTTTAATTTTTTTGATTAAACTAACTCATTTAAGGAAAAAGTGATGAAACTGTTAAAATAGTATAGAATATTTTTTAATTTAATAATATTGACATAAACTATTTTATCCTTAACAAAAACATCACTTTTTTCTATTAAATTGGTCCAATTGATAGAAAAAAATTGCAAATTTAGGAGACGAAAAAAATGTGAGGGTTAAAATGATATTAGGGAAAAGTTGGAGGGTCACAAAATCCATTGTGTTTTTCATTTGACTATTTTATATTATTATTTTTTGCCCTCCTATTTTAATTCGTTTTATGTCAACTATAAAGACCTAAAAAAAGAAAAAGGAACCCTAAATTTTCAATTCTTTCTTAGCAGCCAGACCTTCAGGTTTCTCTCTCTCGTAAGTTCTTCTACCCATCTTCAATCTAGTGCTCTTCATCCTTCTTCTCTCCTTGGTATTGTATAAAAATTATTTTATTTCATTTTTAATTAAGATTGGGGTAATTTGTTTATACAATTTGCTAGGTGTTTTTCCGGTTAATTTTATTTATGCTAAAATATCTCTCGACATTTGAGCAGGTTCGACTGAACATAGTTGTTTGGGTGAGTGTAGTATTTGCAATATTTTTGGAGTGAAATAAAGAAATTAATGGTGAAATTGCGATTATTGGGCACCTAAAGTTTTGAAATCGTAAGACTGAGTTAGGGATTTACCTGCAATAGTTTTGGTAGAATTTTGTTGGATGCGTTATTCTTGAACTGTATAAAGTTATATATATATATTACGGATCTGAAATTATATGATTTAATATCTGGGTTTTAGATTAACGAACTTTTATTTAGGGTAAATTATTGTAAGCAATCGCCCTTTACACTAAATATCGCTCTTCGGGGATCGGAAATATGCTATTTGAACTATTTGTTTTCTCTAAAATATTTGTCTAATATCTGTAGTTGAATATATTTGGACATGAATATCGATTAATGTTCCCAAATATAGTGAAAAAAACTAAGTTTTGGGTTATTTGTTTTATACAATGTGGCAAGGCTTCTCAATTAGTTTGATTTATGTGAAAATCTCAGACTTTTGTGCGGTTTTGTCAGTAGAAAAAAATCAAAGACCTTGTTTGAGTGAGCATCAATGGATCCGCAGCCTGAACCTGTTCAATACATCTGTGGAGGTTAGTATCGTATAACCTTTTGACCCGTAAATAAGCTCTGAAATTTTGCCACAAATTTATGATATATACCTTATTTTTTGGGATATAAAGACTGTGGGCAAGAGAACACACTGAAGCACGGCGATGTGATACAATGTCGGGAGTGTGGTTACCGCATTCTTTACAAAAAACGAACCCGAAGAAGTAATGCTCCTTTTTCCATTTTACTATTGTTTTTATTCATTTTATTAATGTTTGTAATGCTTTCTTTTATTCTTGTTTATTTGTGGTGCTATCAAGAATGCATTTAGGATGCGTTTAAACGGGTTTTTTAATGATCAGAAATAGGATACAACTGTAGGCAGTTAGCGTTGAGCAAAAAAAACTTATGAATCGTGGTGTTCAGTTTTATTAAATTCAGTTTTGTATCAGTTCAGTAGTACCTAAATCATTTTGGTTTGGTTTTCGGTTCATAAGATGATTTGGTTTGATCCCAATTGGAAAAAAATGATTTGGTTTTGTCTTGGGTTTTTAAAAACTTGAATGTAACTGTGTTCCCCTCCCCCCCCCCCAAAAAAAAAAGAAACCGAATAGACTTATCACTCTATAGGAGTAACGAATTTAACTTGGGAAAACATTATGAGAAGAAAAACACATCGAAATCGTAGAACAATTGTCCTGAAAATAAACACTTTGTACGTATTCATATTGGCCAAGAAATCATTGTTTCATGGAGTCAATCTATTGCCGGAACAACCAACAAATTTAGAAACATCAAGATAGCATGTTGAAGATTATTAATTCATGGTCTTTATTTGATGTTGGATTCTTTAAGAAGATAAATATATCCTTTCATGCATAAGGACATAATTGGTTTTATTTCAATTATATTTTTACTATGCTAAATTCCGAATTTGATGAGTCTGTGATTAGAAGCTGTCATTGAGTGTTATTTTGGATCGTTTAGTGTTATCTAGGCTTTTGCTTTTAGCTTAAGAGTCATTTGGTGTTCGAGAGTTTTCTATCTCGGACATGCAGTCTTGATAAGTTCATGAACAATTTCAGCAACTATGCTTCATTTTGAACTCTGAGATGGGGTGAAGCAAACCCAAATTCTAAACGAGTTGTTTCTCTTATTTCTTTTCTTTTATACTTCGTGTTCCGCTACTATTATCGGATAGTCAAACTGGAAAATATTAAGTAGCAACCTTCACCATTCTACATTGATTCCCCATTTTCCGACAATTAATATTAACACCTTGTGTTTACCGCAGTTGTTCAGTATGAAGCTCGCTGAAAGTGGAGTTTGGAGATTGGGAGGGCATAAGCACTCATGCGGAGGAGAAATAATTGGTTGTGTTTTATACATGATTTTGATCATATCAAGTGTGATCCGGGAGGTTAAGCTTGATCCTAGTACCAAAGTGATGTCTATTGTGACTTAGGACATCGAACAGTTGGTTCTTCTAAGAACCGTCTTTGGTTTACGTTTCTGCTACTGCGTTAAGTTACTTCTGGTCAAATTGTGAACTTTAAATCCTCGTGCATTGGTTCCTTTTATCATTGTTTTCTGTACTAGCCACCTCTGCATTGCAGTGAGGTTAAGGATACACATGGAATACATGATCCGAATTTGATTACCCGAATTGATTTATCTGATTCGAGACATGGATCCAAACATAGGGGCTCAAAGTTGGTCTTAAACCTTAAGCAAATCGAATTGAATCAAAATTAACCTAAATTTTAGCTGGATTGATTTCGACTCATACACAATTTAACCCGAAATTAAAACATTTTGATTTGAAATTAACTTGAATTGAAAATAAAACAGATTAAAAGTATCTTGAATTGAATGAAACTCGAAATTGGAATTACCTAAATGAAATCAACTCAAACTGAAAGTAGTTTGAATCTAATTTACTCAGATTGAAAGTAGTGTGAATCTGATTTATTCAATCCGAAAGTAGTTTGAATCTGATTTATTCAATCCGAAAGTAGTTTGAATTTAATTTACACGTGTTGGAGTGTTCATTGTTTGATTTTAATCGAATTAATTGATTGAATTAAATTTTAATTAGATTAATCCATTAGATGTTAGATTGATTAACGGTTAAGAAAATTTTCAAAATTTAGTTATCAAGTAATTCGATTTAAATTCGATTAATTAATCAATGTAATAAAAAAGATTAAATATTATATATATATTTTAAGCCCAAATCTATCGAGGATTAAGATTCAATTATATGTTAACAACAACATTAGACTTAATTAAATTTTAATCAAAATGATAAAATATTGAAATTAAATTCAAATTATTCTAACTAAAAAAATTATGATAAAATTTTGGTTAATTTAAAAACCAACTAAATTAATTAAACTGTATTGGATTTGATTAATAATTTTGAAAAAAATTCAAATCGGTTAAAAAATATAAAAGAATGTCATCTACATGGAGAAAGAACCATTTGTAGATAAATCATGTAGAGAACATGAAATAAGTAGGGCAATACTACATGGTTTTACTTTATAAACTTATAACCGTGATATGCATATCAACGATTGCTTTTTCTATCAGAAATAAATGAATTCTATAGCATATTATATAGGTTAAATTAGCTTTTTTTAGCCAAATAGAAATAATTTTGGGGGAATGCATCATGTGGGGGAAACAATTAGTAATTTATTGTGATTGTGGAGGTGAGTTATTCGTTATAGTAAGATGAGTTTCAGGGAAAATTATTATTTAAAGAAATTTATCCTTCTATTCATACGAATTTCAGAATTAATTAATTTTTAATCAAATAATTAAAGATAGACTTATATTTTATGGTAAAAGGGTAAACTTATAAAATTTTAGAAAATATAAAAATATTTAAAATATATATGAATTCAATTTTTTAACGAATGACTGCCTCTCTTCGTTCATCTCTGCAAACAATTTGAATTCATTGGGGACAAATATCTCATTTGATGATGACAATATCATTGACAAAAAAACTATTGTATCAGGAAACTTCAAATGGATCAAGTATATGTATATAATCTCTAAATCTAATATCTCATCCAATTTCATTCTCAAACTAATATCTTCATTGTAAATTGATCCCTAAACTTATGAATCTTTCAATATAATCTCTAAATCCTAATATGTAATTAGTTTCAACCTTTGTTTAACCTAATTTTTTTTAAAATATAATAGTATAGCTTGGCATAACAATTTTATTAATAATGGATGAAATTTAACATTCAAAAGTTTGAAGATCAATTTAGAACGAGGATCATAGTTTGAAGATGAAATTGAAATATTCAAAAGGCTAAAGACTAACTTAGAATGAGAGTCATAGTTTGAGAATGAAATTAGAATGTTTAAAATTTTAGGGACTATTTTAAAATGAGAATTATGATTTGTGGACGTACTATGCAATTAAATAAAAAACACCTAGCCTATGTACGCTCGCATGTGTTTACAAAACGCTTTCGCATTTGGCTGGAGGCTTAAAGATTCGAGCAACCCAGCATTTCGAAGCCAGATCCGACTCTACCGCCGATTAACAGTCACCGGAATCGGTACTTTAGGTTATAAAGAAAAGTTTCAACTTTTTTTTTTACCGTTTTCAGTACGATTTTTCAAGTAATTGATTAGATATTTGAGTTCAATCTTATTTTCAATGTTAAAAAATTATGGATTTTGCTTGTTTTTTTTTTAAGATTTTGGGTAGTAAATATTGGGTTTTAGGGATTGTAGTTGTTATGGTTTATCTACCTCTATCATTGTTGTTTTCCTCGTGTAGATTTAGAATTTTTGTTTAATTTCATCTGTTTATAGTTTCGACCAATTTTTTTCTTTTATAATTGTTTCATTTACAATGATATTGTAATTAGCTTGTTTATCGAGAGTTATTGAATAGCAATTTGAATTCTGAAATTTATTTTTTGTAATTTTTTTTTGCTGAATTATGTAACGGGTCTTTTTACAGTTAGTTTTTTTTTTTTTTTTGCTGAATTATATGATATGTTGTTTGATTCAGATAAGAAAAGATGAATGGAGAAGTCCCCGACATTAAGAAATGGGAGGTTTTCTATCCTGTTTATATTAATTCGAAGAAAACAGTAGCCGAGGGAAGGCGAATCAACTTGGCTAAAGCATGTGAAAATCCCACCTGTGTTGAAATCGCTGATTGCTGCAACCATCTCAAAGTTCCGAATGCCATCGAGGTTTGTTCTTGTATGATTTGTGATGCCATTGTGGAAATGTGGGGAAAATGATATCGAATCTAATATGAACTTTTCGCCTGATTAGAACCCGGGGTCGATATCTGGATGTATTTTGGTGTTCTTATGTTCAATGAAATCCCAAGGCACTCTTTTCCTCCTTCCGCTGATTAAAGAGCTTCTCTTTAAGTCTCTCTAATCAAGAAGGAGGTTTTTAATGAGGCCTTCAATTCCTATCAAAAAAAAAAGAACCCGAGGTTTCATGTAATTTAAATAGTTCCATCAGCAATGATAGAAATCTGTTGTGGATAGAAACAATTATACGCATTTCCTTCTGTGACAATCGAAACAAACGAAGAGCTCTCTTAACCCTTGTTGCTTGCTATCATTGCTTCCTTCTGCCTGGTTTTGGAAATCTAGCTCATAAATGGACATTTAGGACTTATTATTATCCATTTGTTCTTATGGATACTATGGAGGGTGAATCAAAATTAATGAGGGCTGTCACCAGAGATATTTATTGGCTCCTTTGTGGATTTAGTACTCTTATGGTCTCTGAATGCCACAAGCATGGTTTTTTGGGTTTTTCGTGCACTGCTTTTTTCATCATTCGAGGGTCCATCCATGAGTGCTGGGTCCATTGTTGATTTCTACCTTTGCTTGTCCCCTGTTTCCGAAATTTATCTTTAGTTGGACAATAGCACTCACTGTTATTGTCCGTGTCTTTTGTAGACTTTGGTTCCCTAGCCATCGATTTACCTGACAAGAAGGTTGCTCCCTCAAACCTCAGCTGTGGCCTGCTACCATTAGAGCTATTTATTTGCTAAATCATTTCGGCATCCTGTGAAAATAACCATTTGCCTAACATCTAGGAAAATGACTTATTCATCTCACTCTTGTTGCATGCTTCATGGAATTTTTACACTATCAGCTGTTTGAACAAACTAGTTCTTTCTATTTGTTATTTAACCACGTTAGAGGTGATTTGTACAGATTGACAAGGCATATCCTCGCGATTTCATGCAAAGAGGGAGAGTGAGGGTCCAGTTGAAAAAGGAGGATGGGACTTTATGCAATCCAGTCATTCCTTCAAGTAAGTATAGTTTTTAAAATAATTCTACTGCCAGTTTTGAGCTTGAGAATAATTGAACTTTTTGAAGAAAAAAAAGAGCCCTTTTATGTAATAACACGAGTTATTTGATAGTGTAAAAGCACTTTCAGTCTTCAATTTCGCAAAATTATATTATGAATGGAGAAGAAAAAGAACAGTGCTGGAATGAATTATGCAGGGAACTTAAAACACATAATTCCTCTATCAAAGACACATGTTCTATAATTGGTCTCGTTGCAGGGAAACAGCTGATGTTCCAAGTTGCGGAGTTGGTACCTAGACATCCGGGGAGGGCCAAGAAGCAGGAAGCTCCGTCGATATCAAGTACTGCCGGATCTTCCAAGTCCGGGAAGGGTGGAAGAAAAAAGCGATAGCTCCATTACTCCCCAAAACAACAGGTCATGGTTTTTCTTGGAACGCTTTAAAATTTGCCAGTGAGCTAAACATCTTCATATGGTTTACTTTTTCATTTCTGTTTATCTGAGTGAGCTTCGGAGTATATGTTTACAGATGAATTCCTTGGGTTCTTGATAGGTTCTAATCATTGAGTACTTTAACTTTATTGAACTTTATAGGATTTGGTTTTTCAAATGCAGCTCCCAGGGTGCATGCTTGTTAAACTAAGGCTAAATTTTCAAACCTCGTGGTATTATTATTATTATAGTTTATTTTAAAGAAAGGGAAGGGTTTTAGACTAGATTTGTGAAGTTCGTGGTATTTTTCGATGAAATAGACATTGGATTCACATTCAGACTAAAAATGAGAGAATTGAAATTTCTAGGATCGTCGATGACCGATGAAAGCTGAAAGTGACCGGTGGCCAATGGTGGGCGACATTGATCAAATTCATGAGTTAAATTGATATTTTATCAAAAGTTTAAGGGTTAAATTGATATTCTATCAAAAGTTTAATGATTAAATTAGTATTTTATATATAGCTCAAGAGATAAATTAAAAATTAATCTCTTTTACTAATGTATCACATCATTAAACTAGCGATTTTAAATATCTTGTGATTAAAATATTGTAAATCAATGACGTAAATGATATAAATAGATAATATAAATGATTAAAATATTATTTTTAAATTCGATGACCAAAAAATAAACACTTACGGAATGAGAATTTTATCATCCCTAATACTATCACTTGGGATAAAAAATAAAATTAGATACTTAAGTGGAGAGATAACTTGCGGGTCTATTTGGCTATTGAGCCTAAAGAAACTGCAATATAAATCCGTAGAAGAAAAGAACATCAAAAGTCTTCGTAAAGGGACTTTGGTTTTGGTTATGACCCTTCGGCTTTTTTCACAATTCTCAC